AAAGATACCAAAAGCAGGTATTTGTAAAGTGAATGAGAGGTTAAGCATCTTCAACTCAACAGGATAACTATACATACTGGAGAATACCAGGAAAAAAACAATTAATTCTAAAGCAAATAATTTTAAGTTATTACAACTAAAATTATATTTATATGTCCTGGATATTTAATGATAGAGACTTTTTACTACAATATATTTTTAAATAACTACCAAAAGCTTACTTTTTGGGCCAGGCCTAGAAGCATACACTAACCTTTACTCTCAGCATTCGGGAGACAGAGGCAGAGGCAGAGGCAGGTGGATCTGTGAGTTTGAGGCCAGTCTGATTTACACAGAGCTCCAGGCCAATCAGGGCTACATAGTGAGATGCTGTCTCCCTGCCACTTCAAAAAAAAAAAAAAAATCACTTACTGGGTCACATTAGAAATGTAAGCTGCTACTAAGGTCTTAATCTTTCTCCTATTTTTAGCAACTTATTTGTTTCCAATTTCTCAAAACTAAGTTTTCATCCAAAAGAAGTAATTTGATAAATTATAAAAACTGTTATTAAACTAGGCATGGTGGTGTACGCCTTTAGTCCCAGCACTCGGAAGGCAGAGACAGGCAGAACTCTGTGAGATCCAGGACAGCCTGGACTACATAGTGAGTTCCAGGCCAGCTAGAGCTGCAGGGAGACCCTGTCTCAAAAGGACCAAAAAAAAAAAAAAAGAACACCCCAAAACAAACAAATGCTATTAATACACTTTAAAACCAATTATGTCTTTTTGTTTTGGTTTTGTGGGTTCTTTTTTGGGGGGTGAGGGGGTGTTAAGGCAGGGGTCTCCCTGTAACTCCACCTGGCCTAGAACTATATAGACCAGGCTGGCTTCCATCTTATAGAGATCTGCCTGCCTCTGCCTTCTGAGTGTTGGGATTAAAGGCACGTGCGACCACTCCCAAGAACCACTTTCTAATACATTGTTTTATTTCTTTAGTAAAAATTTCCTTGTCCTACAAAATTATTTCAGCTATTATAAAAGCCTGACTGCTAGAACTTCAAATCAAAGCATTGTTAATGATTCACATTTAATCTAGACATACTCCTTTCCTAATCTAATACAGAAGGCTATGGACACCATAAAATACAGGATCCCTAATACAGTCATCCAGCCTACTGAGACCTTAACATTGAAATTATTTGTTACCGGTCATGATAGCTTATGCTTGTAATCCAAACGCTTGGGAGATGGAGGCAAAAGGATCAGTTCAAGGTCAGCCTCTGCTACATTAGGTTTGAAGCCAGCCTGACCCTGTCACAAAACAATACAACAGTGTTTGTTTTAAGGTCTTATGATTCATCCTGGGGCCACACAAGTCTCATCATTCTTTACTGCCAGATTCATAAGAGTACCAAAGGACCCCAAGAGGCCTAAGCTTCTCACCATGAAAATTGTACTCCCATCATGCTCATCTTCCCTAGACAACACTCCTAATATGCCACACCTGTCCTAGTTACAGTACACAAAACCTTAACAAGCTAATCTACATTTATGAATGAAAAAAATACAAGTAAGTTTTTTCTAAGAAGTTGTCATTTTAAACAATGTGTTTAGAAAGCATTCCATAAGATATTGGAGAGGTAAAAATGAAGTCAAGCATTGGCATGTCTCAACCACCTAGACCTAGCTATTTGCAATGCAGGTTCAATAACAATACAGTTTAAATTAAAAATGAATGCACTCAAACAACCAGACTAGTGAATATGTCTGGGTTAGATATACACTTCAGAGCATGAGTGAAGTATAAACTGAAAATGCAGTTGTTCATTTTATCAAGCTTCATGGCTATAGTGGTACTCACCTGTAATCCCAGCAGGTTGAGGCAAGAGGATTTCAGTCAAGATTGAAGCCAACCTGGACTACATAGTCAGGCCCTATTGCATTAAATAAATAAATAACCCCATCTTCAATATAGGACAAATGATCCCCTATAACCAATCCAGTTTAAAATGGCTAGGCAACATAAAAAAAAAAAAAAAAAAAAAAAAAAAAAAAAATGCAAGAACATACCTCACATGAGGTCTTCCCAAGACATTTGGTATTAGTGACTTAAGTTGTCTTTTTTCCATATTCTTCCTAACAACTTGATAAATTACAAATATAATCAGATGTTGCCTTTTTCTTTTTCTTTGGGGGGGGTATGTGTATGCGTGTATTGCCTGCATGTAGGTAAGTGTACCTGTGTCATGCAATGCCTGAGGAGGTCAGAGAAGCTGTCGGATCCCCTGAGACTGGAGTTACAGACAGTTGTTAGCTGCCATGTGGGTACTAGGATTTGAACCCGGGTCTTCTGCAAGAACAGCCAGTGTTCTTAATCGCTGAGCCATCTTTCCAGTCCCTTTTTTTTGGTTATTTTTGAGACAGGGTCTCCCTGTAGTCCCAGCTGGAACTCACTATGTAGACCAGGCTGGCCTTGAACTTAAGAGATCCGCCTGCCTCTGCCTCCAAGTGCTGGGACTAAAGGTGTGCACCACCACACCCGGCAGATGTTGCCTTTTTCAAACTCTGAAAAAACCTACTTCATTCTTTTTTTTTAAATTTTTATTTATTTATTTTTATTTTCACCACCACACCCAGCAGATGTTGCCTTTTTCAAACTCTGAAAAAAACCACTTCATTCTTTTTAATTTTTATTTATTTATTTTTATTTTATGTGTATGAGTGTTAGGTCTACATGTATGTAAGCGCACCCATATTGTGCGATGCCCAAAAAAGTCAGAAGAGGATGTTAGATCCCCTGGAACTGGAGTACGGATGGTTGTTAGCTGCTATGTGGATGCTGGGAATCAAACCCAGGTCTGCAAGAACAGCCAGTGTTCTTAACAGCTGAGCCATCTATCCAGCCCCCATCACTTTATTCTTTATCTCACTAATCCAAGGCATAGTGAACAGTAACTAAGATAACATAAAACCATTTTATTCAATGAACAACTGATACTACAATTATAAGCTTCAGATACAGTACATCCTTTTTTGTTTGGTTTCCTTGTTGTCTTTTTCAGAGTTTCCCTGTAGCTCCAGCTGTCCTGAAACTCCCTGTGTAGACCACACTGCCCTCATCTCAGAGATGCACCTGCCTCTGCCTCCCAAGTGCTGGGATAGGACATCCTTTTTGAACAACCAAGTCCAAGTTTCATTTTTAGGGAGGGCCTTATGTAGCTCATGGTAGCCTCCAACTTTCTATCTAGCTAAGGATAACCTTGAACTTGTTTGGTTCTCCTGACTCCATCTCCCTAAGATCACAGGCATGAGTCACCACACCCAGTTTTATGTGGTACTGGGCAAATGGGGAATCAATCCAGAGCTTCATGCATTGTAGGAAAGCATTGAGCTACATCTTTAGTCAAGTTTCTTTGACCAGAATTAGATGGATTGTGTTGTATAATCATCTCATGAAGAAACCACTTGACCAAAATTACAATCTTGGAATCGGTTAGGTTAATTTAGAAAAGATAAAAATTTCCCCAGTCAGTCATTAATTACCCATCCCATAACCCTGCCACACACACACAAATAACTGTAAAGAAGAATTAGGTAAAAAAAAAAAAAAAAAACATGACCAGCTCAATGAAATGTCCAAGAGACTATATAAAACGGAGTATTATAAAGCATGATTATCTTATTTGGTATTCCTATATAATCCTGTTATTGCTATACACAAAAGTTAAGGACTACACCACTGACAGCTAAGGTACTAAGAGGAGTATTAAGAGTGCAGGGAATGCCAAGCTTGGTGACCCAGGCCTTTGATCCCAGCATTCTCATGGCAAGGACAAGCAGGTATCTATGAGATTGAGGCCAGCCTGGTCTACATAGTTCCAGGCCAGCTGAAGCTACATGGAAACCCTATTTCAGAAAAAAAAAGTGTAGGTACTAAATGAATGTACTAGTAACTTGGGAAAATTCTTAAGATAATCCGCAATGCTGACTCTGTACCTAAAAAACAAATTTTATGAAAAACTACCCCAAAACATCATTAAAACACAGAGCCTACACTAGACATATAACTTATTCTAGATCCCTCTGAGTCACATATTCAACCCATTTTTTTAAAAAATAAATTGACTCAACAAGTATCCAGTATGCCCATACCCCCACTGCCTACCCCCTAATCAACTGATCCTAGAAAAGCAGAAAGAAGTTCGGTTTAATCCTAAAAGACTGATTCACATAAGAGCTTGACTTTCTTTATGACCTTGGGCAAAGTCTACGCTACTAAAATGATGTTTGGTGTGCCTGCTTATTACTGAAATTTAATCCTAATATCATGTGAACAATAGTGAGGGTACTCTAAGCTGGACCTATGGAGTTAAGTTTTTAATCATACATATTAACTGATATGTACTATAAACCATGATTTTCACTTTCTTAATGCGGGGGACAACTCTAATAAAACCCCAAATTCAACATGATCAAAAAAGTCTGAAAAGTTGAGCCTCCTTACTAAAAACAGTAAGAAAAGAATAAAAAACTGGCTTAATTTGCCATTTAATTTCTTTTGTAAGGACAACTGCTGGACCACAAACAAAAATGTGTAACTTGGCATTTGGTGAATCAGAATATTAAGCAATCTACAATCTAAAAATTATACAGATAAGTCTATCATTTCAAGTCACTAATTTGTGTACCCACATAAAGGAGTAATCTTGGTATAGCCTTATGAGCATTAGAAAGATAAATCCCTGCCTCAGAGGGCCATTTGCTGAGTGTATTCATCTCAGGATCTTAGGGAAGTTTACCAGCAGTATCTTTGTAGGTTTCCCTCAGGTACTCTTAGGAGTGCTTAACATCATTCACACATTCAGCTACCGCTAGGGTGAGAAGTAAATAAACACGATTTACTTATGCAATTATTTACCACAGAACTCTGGTCAAGCATGCAAAAGTAAACACTCATACAGACATACTCAAAGAAAATAAAGCATACGAAGTATAATTAAGATTCACCCTCAACTGACCACTATGGAAACCAGAGGCCTCCCACATGGGCTGTTTTTTACTACCACTCTTGATTTCAAGAAGTTGCAATGTCAACTCAATATTTTAGTAGTAGATGAACAGAAGTTCCTGAAATCCCTTTTTCCAGATTCTCAAAAGATGTTTATCGAAGTAGAGTAACGCCCCCTAAAGCACCGTACTAGAAAGAATGGAATACCAAGCAGGTTAGAAAAGGCGATCTAACTTCATTAACCAGGGGGACTAGGGTCGGAGACTAGGAACGTGAACTCGGGGTGGGGGTGGGTAGCAAAGTGAAATCTAACCCCAGAAATCACAACACAGGCCGCAGTCTGAGAGCTGGAGCTGGCGGGAAGTGAGCTCCCTTCCGTTCCCAGGGGAAAGTCCAGGCTAGAGCCGCTCAGCTCAGCGGCCGTACACGGCGCCAATAGTGCATGCCTACTAACGCGCCGAAGGATCGGCAGAGAAGGGGAGGAGATCCCGGCAGACGGCCCAGGGAGAGGACTGAGGGTGGGAGCAACGGCAGCGTCTGGACGTCTGGGATTACCTTCACTGTGACGACAGAGGGGTGTCCTCGGGCTCCGGCGACCGTCCTGGCTGCGTAATAGGTGGTGTCTTTCCCGCTTCACCCGCAGCAGCCACAGAACCAGCTCCTTCAGCCAGTCGCCATTTCCCGCCTACCGACCTGCTGCACCGCACGGACAGGGACCCGGATGGAAAGCGGCCTTCCCGCGCAGGCGCCCTCACTTCCTCCGCCCCCTCCCGCCACAATTCCGCGAGGTGGGAGGAAAGGAATGCGGCCGGCCAGGGCGCTGGGGGGAGGGGGAGACGACCTCGACTTCCGAGAAGAGGCTCAAGTTCCTGCCACCCGAAGAACTCACCGGTACGAATTCCTGAGAAAAAAACCAACACCGGGACCTCGGACCCCACGCTGTACGCCAGGACAGACCGTGAGGCTCCGCCGGGGCTGGGGGAGGTTTGTACTTCGGGGGCCTCCGTAGCGGGCAGGGAGGTGGTCGCAGGGGGAGTGAAGAGGCGGGGCGCCAGGACTGCTTCCCTCCCGCCGCTAACGGAACTGCCCTGGGCCGGCAGCGGAGTGCGCGCCCTCGCCCCGGAGGCGGGGTTATGGAGCGCGCCGCTCCGGGTCGGCCTCCGCCTGCGGGCGCGGGGTGGAGCCGGGCTAGGGGGCGGCGCTGGCGGCTTCGCGCGCTGGAGGAGGCGGTGTATGCCCTGCTCTGCCTGGCTTGGGACGCCAGCGCTCGCTGCTTTCCTGGAAGGTCGCCGCAGCCTGGAGCCTCTTTCTAACTCACTACTGGAGGGCAGAGCAGTCGCTCTTACACCAGTCCTGCAAACCCATAGCCTGGCCGCCCTCCCTCGCGTTGTGGACGATGGTGCTGCCGACTGAAAACTCAGACCCTTAAACCATCCATCCACAAGCCAGCGTCACAGGATGGTCAGCTCCATCCCCAGGAAAATATATCCATCTGGAGAGACCCGTTGTAGCGGAATGCCAGAAACCCAACCCCGGTGCTTGGGAGCGTTAGCTGTAGACCAAACCTCCAGGCCACTGTCATCATTCTATTAACGGTTTATTGAAAAACAACTATGTAATAGGGTTATAACCCTGATTGAGGCAAAAGCAATTACTGCCTTCCCAGAGTTAACAGTCTGCGGAAGAAGACCTTAAAGAGATTTAACACTGTGATCAAGTGATTTGTAGGAGTGGCATGACAGGAGTGGTAGGAGCATGTGAGTGTGCCAGCCAGGGGATCTGGGAAGGTTTTTAGACTTCACTAAGACTTAAAAGAGAATTGGTGTAAGAATTGTGTTCCTACATGACAGATACACGAAAAACAAGGTATTGACCCAATGTTCCCAGAAAGCTGTTCTGTAGGGTAAGAGAATTGGAGACTGGGGAGTAACAGCAACAGAGGAGGCTTAAAGGTAAATGTGAAAGTGTAGATGGAAGCCTCTTGTAAATATGATTGTTTCTGTTTCAAAATGTAGAGCCGGTGGGTTGTCTTCTGAAAACCTTATACACTGCGTATCCTCTCAGAGCTCTCTATTTGCAACCTAAATCTTGCCAGCCCAAAAATGGTTTGAAGCTGGACATGGTGGCACATGCCTGTAAAGCCCAGCAATCAGGATACTGAGGCTGGAGGCTAACAAGTTCCAAACTGCCTTGGCTACATAGCAAAAAAATGAGAAGAAAAGTAAAAAGAAAGCTTTGAGCCCAGCATAGTGTGGCACAAGCCTTTAATCACAGCATTCAGTAGGCAAGAGGCAAGTGGATCTCTGAGTTTGAGCCAGCCTGGTCTACATGACAAGTTCCAGGCCCCATAGGGATACATAGTGAGACCTTGTCTTCCCCCAGACCCCCCAAAAAGAAAGCTTTGAATGCAACATTGATTTGAGAGCAAAGAACAAGAATCCACCTGGTGGCCTGGTATGGTGGCGCTCGCCTTTAGTCCCAGCACTCTGGACTCAGAAGCTGGCAGATCTTTGTGAGATTGAGGCCAGCCTGGTGTACATAGTGAGTTCCAGGCCAGCTGCGGCTACAGGGAGTCCTTGTTTCAAAAACACAAAAACCGGCTGGAGAGATGGCTCAGCAGTTAGGAGCACTGACTGCTCTTGCAGAGGACCTGGGTTTGATTCCCAGCACCCACATGGCAGATATGAACCATCCTTAACTCCAGTTCCAGGGGAATCCGAAGCCCTCTTCTGACCCCCGCAGCATTGCCCAACAGGTGCACTCACATACTTGCAAGTAATACACGCATACGGATAAAATATAAAAAAAAGACAAAAACAAATACAAGAACCTATAATAATAGGTTCCTGAAAAATGCTAGTGTGTATTCTGGAAAGTAAGAGAATGTAAACTAAATAATTACCCCATTGTTTATTAAAATTACTTTTTATAAATGTTTAGTGTTGGGGCTCAGCAGTTAAGAGCAATGGCTGCTTTTGCAGAAGACCCAGATTCTAACCCCAGCACCCACATGGCAGCTAACAACCATCCTTAACTCATTCTAGGGGATCCAACGCACTCCTCTGACTGCCATGGCCATGGCATGACACATGTGAGTGCAGGCAATACACTCACATTATTATTATTATAAAAATAATAAAATATTTCAAAACTCAGTGTTAGCATAAAAGAGGGCTTCATTTATATTTTCATACATATGTGATCTACTTTATCATTCATTCCCCTCCTCTACCACCAGTCCCCTACCTATCCCTGCCAGGTTCCTTTCCTTTCCTCAAATAGTCTCTCCTGCTTTGATGTCACACGTATTCCATTATGCCCTTCATCTGCCCTCTCCCTTGAGCTGTCTTCCCACTCATGATCCCCTTTCTGGTTTTATGACTCTCCCACAAACATAAACACACATAAAACAGTAAGTATAGGTTCTGTGAATGAGAGAAACAGGTATTCTTTGTCTTTCTGTCTTATTTCATTAGTAGTCATTTCCAGTTGCATCTATATTCCTGCAAATGTCATGATTGCATTTTTCCTTATTGCTGCATAAAATGTCATTGTGTATATGTACATTTTTTGAACCAGAATTGGAGTTTAAAGGAAGATTGACATAGATTTAAGCATGGAAGTTAGTAAAGAGAGAGATTCTTGGGAAAAGGAGAATAAACACCCAAGAGTGCAAGTGTGAGCTGTTCCTGTGCAAGAGCAGCAAATGCAGGTGGATTGCTGTGAGCTTGAGGCTAACCTGATCTACATAGCAAGTTCCAGGCCAGCCAGGGCTACATGGTAAGACCCTGTCTCAAAAAAAAAAAAAAAACTGAAGATGCTTTTGCTTTGGTTGCAGGACATAGAAAAATCAAGCTGGAACCGAGCTGCTTCCCACTGGTTAGTTTTCATAGTGCCAGCAGGCTGTTATCAGGAGATTAACCAACATTCTTACTCAGTTGTGAACTTGGTATACTACACTATGGACCTGCCAGGTAAGATGTGCCCAGTAGTGCAATAGTGGCATGACTGTTAAGGGGGTAACTAACCATCTAATCCATTTTCCAGTTGGATTAGAGAAAGCAATTCATGTGTGATACTGAGAATGTGGTCAAAAGCCCACTGCTGAGGAGGTAATAGGCCTTAATGGAATCTACTGCTATTGGTTTGCTGAATACACATGATGTGTCTATCTAAATGCCTTCTAAATATTTATGTTGCTGTCCATAGGTTAGTGCTGCTGTGAGCTTTGATTAGAGAAGCTGCTTTTTGCAGTGGGCAGCAGTTACTGTACAGACTCATAACTAACCAAAGTGCTGAGAATAAGTGACTTGAATACACTACCATAAATGGGACATCTGTATCACCCTCTCCAAGGTTCAGGGAACATTGCAGAAGAGGTTGAAAGAATGTAACCAGAAGAAGAGATGGAGTATTTGGAACCCTTGTCTTCAGGCATGGCATGAGGCTTGCACTCTTGTACTCTGAGTAGTTGTGGTTACCTGTATTGAGACTTGTACAAGATTGGACCCATCCACACTCTGTCATGGAGGGGACAGGGGCTCACCAGGCCTCTACCCTCCCTGAGGATGGTTGCTGAGGGAGGGAAAGACACTTTTTTCAGTGGTCTAAGTCATGCTTCTGTAAGCAATCCTAATTAAATTCACTGGGTATCACAGAGGTGTGGGGAGGTGAAAGTATAAAGAGGGCCTAGTTAGGAAGAAAAAAAGGATCAGTGGATATAATTAAAATAACATTAAACACATTTGAAAATGTCATAATACTGTGCTCACAATGTGGAAACCAGCTTTTTCCCAAATGGGGTTAATAAAAGAGTTAAACTCCGCCTCAGCCATCATCACATGAGGGCCGTTTCTGATTCTGATCCAGTGCTAAAACTAAAAAAAAAAAAAAAGAAAAAAACCAAAAAAAAAAAAAAAAAAAGTGTATGTGTGTGTGTAATGTCATAATAAAATCCAACTATTACAGAGCAAAATTGTATATAATTAATATATTGAAAAAATTAAAAGTGGTTTTTTTTGTTGCTGTTGTTTTGATTTTAGTTTTATGAGACAGTGTCACATGTAGTCTAGGCTGATCTCAAAATCAGTATATAACTCAGGATGGCATAACTCCTGATCCTTCTACCTCTACCTCCAAAATGCTAAAATTACAGACATGTGCCATCATACTTGGCTTAAAAAAAGTTTTATAGGGGCTGGAGAGATGGCTCAGCGGTTAAGAGCACTGACTGCTTTTGCAGAGGACCCAGGTTTGATTCCCAGCATCCACATGCGGCTACAAATCATCCTTAACTCCACATCCAGGGGAATCTGAAGCCCTCTTCTGACCTCCGAGGCATTGTGTGACACGGGTGCACTCACTTACATGCAGGCAATACACTTATACACATAAAAATAATAAATAAAATATTTTTTTTTAAGTTTTATAGCCGGGCGTGGTGGCACATGCCTGTAGTCCCTAAGATTGGGAGGCAGAGGCAGGGGGGTCCCTGCGAGGTCAAGGGCAGCCTGGTCTACATAGTGAGTTCCAGGACAGCTGGAGCTACAGGGAGACCCTGCTTTAAAAAGACAAAAAAAAAAAAAAAAGTTGTATAAAATATACGAAATTCGGGGCTGGAGAGATGGCTCAGCAATTAAGAGCACTGACTGCTCTTACAGAGGACCCAGGTTCGATTTCCAACACCCACATGGCGGCTACGAACCTTTTTTAACTCCAGTTCCAGGGAGTTATGAATCCAAAGCCCTCTTCTGACCTCCACACCATCACACAACATGGGTGCACTCACATACATGCAGACAATACACTCATACACATAAAATAAAAATATTTTAAAAAAAAAAAATATATATATATGAAATTGCAGGGGGGGGGTGGAAAGATAGCTCAGTGATTAAGAGCACTGGCTGCTCTTGCAGAGGACACAGGTTTGGTTTCCAGCACCCACACAGCGGCTAACACCCATCTGTAACTCCAGTTCCAGGGGAATCCAATGCCTTTTTTCTGACCTCCATGGGCACTGCATGACATGGGTGCACCTACCTACATGCAGGCAATACACTCATAACACATAAAATAAAAAATACTTTTTAAAATATATAAAATAGGGGGACTACAGGGAGACCCTGTCTCAAAGAGATTATATATATAAAAGGATAGTGACAAAGTAATGTAATAGAAATAGCTCAAATCTTCCAACAGTCTTTCATCAGGTTCTTTATTCCAAGGAACAAGTGGGGTCTCCCTAATTCAAAAATACAAAATGTTCCAGCATCAAAAACTTTTTGAATGCCTAAGGACAACAAAAGAAAATTCCACACTTGACCCTCATGTAACAGTGCACGGTCAAAAATTAAAATTACCTTCAAGCTATTACATAGGTGTACAAGAAACACAAATGAATTTTGTATTTAGACTTAAGTCCCACCTCCAAGATAACTCACTATACATGGCAAATATTCCAGTATCCAAAATAATCTGAAAACCAAACCACTTTAGGTTCCAAGTATTTCACATAAGGATTGCTTAACTTGTATAAGGAATATTATTTACCTTTTAATTGATTCATAAGATATTATTTACTTCATAGAGGCAGGTCAGCCTGGGCTACAGAGACACTATCTCAAAAAGGCAAATATATATATAAAATAATTCATGATGTATTCAATTCATTAAGGCAATAATGGGCTGCAGTTTTGCTCTATAATAGTTGGCAATGATTATCTAAAACTTTATAAGATATAAGCTAAGTTTAATTTTCTCTCAAATCTGCTTATTCCTCAGTGTTTTCTACTGTAGTAAATGCAGATTGTCTTCCTTACACCCCAGGTCCAATATAGCTGGCTCTCAGTACTGGCCTCAGTATTTTTCCACATCAAGAGGATTCAACCCACTATTCAAAGAAAAATGAATCTGTTCTGAATCTGTTTCAGGCTTTTTGTCATTGTTTTCTAAACAATATAGCAATGTAACCATTACAGTGTATCAAACACTATAAGTTACCTAGAGATCACACATAAAGTATCATTTGAAGATTTAAAATCATTGAAAGGGTTTGGGGGTAGGCTGGAGAGATGGTGCAGTGACCACTCTTGCAGAAGACCTGGGTTCAAATCCCAATACCTACATGGTGGTTAACAATCTGTAACTCCAGTTCCAGAGGGTCCAACACCCTCTTCTGTCCTCCACAGGCACTTCACAACATGGATGCACTTACATATATGCAAGCATAACACTCATACACATAAAATTTAAAAGTTTTCAAAAGGGTTAGGAATGTAGCTCAGTGATTAGGGTTTATGTAGCTTGCCTGGGGCATAGGGCTGGATCTTCAACGTTGTGTGAGCTGGGCATGGTGACACACATCTCTAATCCCAAAACTCAGGTGGAAGCAGAAGGATCAGGAATTCAAACTCATTCACAGCTACACAGGGAATTTGATGCCTGTCTGGGATACAAGAATTTGTCTCCAAAATTATTACTATTATCCTTTCCGTTTTTTGAGACAGCCTTATGTATCCCGGGCTGGCCTCTAATTCACTATGTTGCCAAGGCTGACTTTAACCCCTTATTGTACTGCTTCCACTTCCCAAATGCTGGGATTATAGGTTATGTACCACAATGCCAGCTCATCAATTGTTTTGTAAAGATTTATTTTTATGTGCGAACCTACATAAGTTTTGTGCATTTCATGTGAGCAGGAGCCCATGGAAGCCAGAAGACGGTGTTAAATTCCTGGAACTAGAGTGACTGACAGTTGTGAGCCACCCTGTGGGTACTATAAACCAAACCTAGGACCTCTTCAAGTATTCAAGTACAGTAAGCATTCTTAACTGTTGAGCCATCTCTCCAGCCCCATCATCTTTTTTTACTGTCTAGCTCTGGCAGGCCTGGAATTCACTACAGAAACCAGGCTAGCTTCAAACTCAGAGATCTGCCTGCCTCTGCCTCCCTAATGCTGGGTTGAAAGGCATGAGCTACCACATCCAGCCTTTCATCACCAGTTTTTTAAAAACAATGGAGTATGTTGTGTTTATCTAGCTAGTCATTTTTTCAAGATTTATTTATTTATGGGTCTTTTGCCCCAGCTGGCCTGGAACTCACTATGTAGACCAGACTGGCCTTGAACTCACAGGGATCTGCCTGCCTCTGCCTCCTAGAGTACTGGGATCAAAGGTATTCGCCACCATGCCCAGCTCTTTTTGTTCTAAAATTATGAGTTTATGTGTGTTTGTGTATGGGTATGAGCTAGTGAGTGCAGGTGTTCTAGGAGCCCGTAAGAGTGTCTGATCCCTTGGAGCTGGAGTTAGAGGCAGCTGTGAGCCCCTGACCTGGATGCTGGGAACCAAACTTGGGATCCTCTGCAAGACCAACAGATATTCTTAACTGTCAAGCCATCTCTACTGTCAAGCCCCATGTCTACTCATTTTTAATTTAACACTGTGTGAATAATATAGACTCTAGATTCTGTGATCGCCTCTGAAAAGTGCTAATTCTTATTTCAGCAGCCTTTGTCCTTCCTCCCTCCTCCCCTCTCTGCCTTCTCTTTCTCTCTCCCTCCTTCCTCTTCCCTCTCACCCACTTTCCCTCTATCCTTTCCTTTTTCTTTTTACAGTGCTAGACATCAAACCCAGGGCCTCACAGAAGACTAGGCAGACTACCACACATCAGGTGGTCTCAGTCTAAACATGTACAGCTCAGTTCTCCACCCTATATGAACATGGGGACCCCCCATGGATTCCTAAGGCTGCATCTCTCAACAGCTCCTTCTTTGGTAGCTCACCCAACAGCTTCCAACTGTTTGAGCTGCCCCTCAATGATCTCAGTGCTCTCAGAACCACTGTATTCTGCTCCACTTTCAACATTTTTACACCACAGGAAGCAGGTCACTATGGGGCTTACTGCCTGTTTCTCTTCTCTCAAAGACTGTATTTTAGCTAGGTGTGGTGGTTCATGCCTGCAATCCCAGCACTGAGGAGAAAGCCGTGGCAGGATTGCCATGAGTTTGAGGCCAACCTGGGCTATAGTGTGAGACCTCTCTTGGTCCTCCTGCCTTCCCCTCTGTAGCATGTCCTACCGGCATGTGCCACCACAACCCAGTGTCTGAAAAACAAAAATGAAGATGTCTTGTGCTGCCTGAAAACAGTTGTCAAATGTATCTTATCCAGTTGTAGTTTCTAGTAATCCAGGTGGAATAGTCAAGTTACTCCATTATGCCAGAAGCAAAAGTCTCTCTTCAAGATTTTTAAGTCCAGCTCTTTGCAGACAGCAAAAATATGAAAATTTTATCTTTCAGAAGCCACAGCTACCATTTTAAAGGGAAAGCTGGTCTAAGAATGAAGGCAACATGTAGAGAAAAAAATGAAAATTTTTGAAAAAAAATCAAGTCTTTATGAGTTGTCTTCAAGTCCAGGGGACTCCTGCCTATTATGTGCTTTTCTTTCATAGGTATTACATTTCTCTCTTTTTCTTAGTTGGTTCAATTTTCATTTTAAACTCTGAGGGAAGAGTCTAAAAAGGAACTGGAAAAACAAGAGAAAAATTAAAGGAACTGGAACGTTGATGCCCATAGGTGATGTAGACTCAAAAAGCTAAACTTGGACATGTATTCATACTTGGTAAGAACTAGGAAGCACCTTTTTGCTAAAAATCAACTGAATCCAGCTCTGCAAAAGCCAGTCATGAAAAGCAGGACAAAAGCTTGGCATCTCTGCTTTAATCTTTAACTGTCTCCTTTGCCTTAAACTTTGAGTCAACTCTACATGTAAGGGTAATCACTTAAGGCTGGTGAAATCTAATGCTCGTAAACCTTCCCTCCCCCAAGTCCCAAGACATGAAGGTAAACAAATATTTCAAGCTCTTTTAGTGATATAACAGATTGTCAAGATCCAGCTTTCAGAACAACCTTTTCCAGACCCCTAAAATGGCACCTATAAGTCTCCAGTCAGTTGTCCCAAACCTAGGAGGAGTAGTGAGCCTTACAGTAAAGCGGATCCCTCTGACAAGGCTGTTCCCTAAAGAGGAGGAATCATCTTACAGTAAGAACTAAACTGCCCCACAGGTGCTGACTTTCCCCAGAGCCTCAAAGTACTACACAAAGTACTGAGGCAATCTTCGACCAGACACCACTTTGACCAAGACTGCTTAATTATGCTTACCTCTTGCCCACTGCCCTAATTCTTCAAAGCTCATGTCAGTAGCCTACAAAACGAAGGAGGCTTGATGCACCTTGAATTCCATATTGAATAAATTCCTTTCCTGCCTTTGATAATTTTTTCATTTCATTTCTGAGGCAAGTGGCTAGACCTGATTTGTTGGTTGGAGCTCCCTCCCTGATGACCTAGACTATTTACCTCATTGGAACCACAGGGCTGGGCCTGAAGAGCAAAAGATTCAAATGTCATCCATCACAGGAAGAAGTTAACTATCACCCTCACAAGATTTTTTTCGGGGGGGGTGCTGTTGGGACAGGATCTCCCTGTAGCTGCAGTTGACTTGGAATTCACCGTGTAGACCAGGCTGGCCTCAATTTCACAGAGATCCACCTGCCTCTGCTTTGATGAGTGCTGGGACTGAAGGCCTGCACTAGCACATCCTGCTCCTCACAAGATTGTTTGAGACAAAGTCTGACTACATAGGCCTAGCTGGCCTGACATACGCTATGTAGCACAGTTGGCCTTGAAGTTGTGTTTGCCTTACCTCAGCCTCTCAAGTACTGGGACTACAAGGGTGTTATCACCCTTAAAAGAGTCTCTGTTCTCATATTCCAGCAAATTTTCTTACATGATTACATACATTGAGACACATTTTATATAAAAAAAAAATTGTTTTACTTACAGGTAAGAGCACAATGTGTGTGCAGTGCCTGAGGAAGCTAGAAGAGGGCATTGGATCCCTGGAATTGGAGTTACAGATGCTTGTTAGCTACCATGTGAGTGCTGAGAACCCAACCTAGGTCTTCTACAAGAGCAGCCAGAGTCTCTGTTCTCATATTCCAGCAAATTTTCTTACATGATTACATACATTGAGACACATTTTATATAAAAAAAAAATTGTGTTTTACTTACAGGTAAGAGCACAATGTGTGTGCAGTGCCTGAGGAAGCTAGAAGAGGGCATTGGATCCCTGGGATTGGAGTTACAGATGCTTGTTAGCTACCATGTGAGTGCTGAGAACCCAACTTAGGTCTTCTACAAGAGCAGCCAGTGCTCTTAACCACCAAGCCATCTCTCCATACTTTTTTTTGAGACAAGGTCTCATGTTCCCAGAGATGGGCCCTTAACTCACTATGTGGTCAAGGGCAACCCAACTCCTGATCTTCCTGCCTCTACATCCCAAATGCTGGGATTTCACATGTGCACCACCACACCCAGTTAATGTGGTGCTGGGGATTGCACCTAGGGCTGCCTAGGTTTTGCTACCAGTAACTGAACTTGAACAGTCCTCCCTGTCTTGCCCTATAAACCTCCTCAGCTTCATTTTTTTCCTTTGATCCTTATATTCCAGCCATATAATTATACTGTTTTCCTTGGGTGAATACCTGATTATTTGGAACCTTTCAATTTTGGAACTCTTAAAAAACTACAAATGACCCTACCATTTGACCCAGTTATACCACTCCTTGGCATATACCCAAAGAACTCATCCTATTGCAGAGACACTTGTACATCCATGTTTATTGCTGCTCTTTTCACAATAACTAAGAGATGGAAGCAACCTAAGTGTCCCTCAA